GATGAGAAATTTGTGGCCTCGGTGCTGCAAAGTCCGTTTAGTGACGTGGCCTCTACCAGAGTTCCAGATTAATTTATAGACCGTTGGGCTAAGTGGACCCAGACCTGGCCAAGCCATGCCCAAACTGTGTTCTTACGCTAGAGTGCAAACTTTGCATCAGATGTACCTCACCCCAGCCTTCCTCATCTTACTACTGCTTGCATGGCAACTCCCATCAGTCACAATAACGTATACGACGCTTGCAGACGGATCAGGCCCAGGGGCCCCCACTCGGGTCCTGCACTGTGTTCTCTCAGTGGCCAGATGTCCACCAAATGCCCACAAGCAAGACTGGAGCATGTGTGGTGCCTAGAAAGTGGTGTTATTCTGGGGCACACGGCCTTCGAAGCCGCCTAAATGGGTCCCTGTCGCTACGATCTTGTGGGAGGGAGTTCCGCAGTTTAACGATGTCCTTCCTTTCACCTGTCTTGTATTTTCCACCATACAAATTCATGGGGTTCTTATATCACAAGAGGCCTATTCGTTTTCTCCACACATCTCGGTAGTGGCGCCCGCCCTGTGGAACGCCCTCCCTTCAGATGTGAAGGAAATAAGCAGCTATCCTATCTTTAAAAGACATCTGAAGGCAGCCCTGTTTAGGGAAGTTTTTAATATTTAATGCTGTATTGTTTTTAACACTCGATTGGGAGCCGCCCAGAGTGGCTGGGGAAACTCAGCCAGATTTGGGGGGGAGGTATAAATAATAATATATTACAAATATTATAATTATTATTTTGACTGCCCTTTTCTGAACCTGTTCGCCAAATGGGAGGCAGAGTTTGGCATAATCGGCTGGGAATTGCAGGTACAGCCTTTCCGCTGATAAGTAACCCACCTCTGGAAAATTCCAAGTTCTTTTGCCGCAACATTTTCCTTGTGGCAAGGAGTTCCATAGTTCACAGTGCAGGCATTTTCTCTGCAGGACAGCCTTCCCATTTCAGGCAGGATTTGCTGATGCGGAGACTGTTAAGTAGAGGAGACCTTTTTCTTTTCTTTTCCATTCTCCCCTTTCAGTGGCCACATGCCTCTCAAAGGTATTTCCACCCGTTTCCTGCATTTTCCTCTCCCATTCTCCTTTCCTTGCACCTGGCCCAGTGCTTTGAGCAACGCTTTTGAGAACTTAGCCCAGAAAAGGGGGTGGCATCCAGCTCACGTTTTACTCAAAACAGACTCATTGAAATGGATGGGTGTGACTAAGTTATGCCCATCATTTTCAATGGGATTACTCTGAGTAAATCTTAGTTGCGCCCATCCACTGGGTGTGCTTACCTCCACCTTTTAAAGTTGGTTGCAGAGTCATTTCTGCCCCACCATAAGGCTCATTTGGGTGGTATAGCCACACAGAATAGGTACCCCAGGCTGTCAGATAGAGGGGGGGGCGTTGTAGGAGCACCCAGGAAGAACAGTACCTTCCTTTAATCCACCCCACCCTGTTTCCTTCCGTGGCAGTATTTGGGTGCTCTTCAACTTCCTCTCCCCGTGGCTTCATTAGCTACGAACACTCAGTGGGACGCGGGTGGCGCTGTGGGTTAAACCACAGAGCCTAGGACTTGCCGATCAGAAGGTTGGCAGTTCAAATCCCCGCGACGGGGTGAAAATAATTCGGGTGAATGGCGCCACGAAGCCGGCCGGGACGCCGCCCCCCAGCAGTGCCACCAGCAGTTGTCTCTGTCCGAGTGGCATACCTCTGCTGCCACCTGCCTGGTTTCCAAACAAGCCCGCCTCGGGGGAGTGTTGTGAAGCCGGAAATAAGTTGCAAGTAAGTAAGGGACGCGGGTGGCGCTGTGGGTTAAACCACAGAGCCTAGGACTTGCCGATCAGAAGGTTGGCGGTTCAAATCCCTGCGACGGGGTGAGCTCCCGTTGCTCGGTCCCTGCTCCTGCCCACCTAGCAGTTTGAAAGCACCTCAAAGTGCAAGTAGATAAATAGGTACCGCTCCGGCGGGAAGGTAAATGGCGTTTCCGTGCGCTGCTCTGGTTCGCCAGAAGCGGCTTAGTCATGCTGGCCACATGACCCGGAAGCTGTACGCCGGCTCCCTCGGCCAGTAAAGCGAGATGAGTGCCACAACCCCAGAGTCGGCCATGACTGGACCTAACGATCAGGGGTCCCCCCCCCAACTTTCTCTCCCCGTGGCTTCATTAACTGCGAACACTCAGTCTGGCCAGGCGCTGCAAAGCGCAGGGGGTTTTCGCTGCAAAACGTTGCAACGCGATTGCCAAACTTTGGCACCGGTTTGAAGTGACTCGGACACCGTCGGATTTTGGGGTGTTAACTACGAACCCCGCTTTTACGTATCGATTGCTCAGTTTGCGGGGCACACTGCAAAACGCTGGGTTGCCGCTGCAAAACGACTGCAAAACTTGGGTAAAATTTGGGGGGTCCCAAATTTTGGGGTTCGTCATTAATAAGCCTCCTCCCTGCCTTGCCTTAAAAGACCTCAAAATAATAGCTGGGAAAGAAACTTCTGGAAGTGTCCCGCAAACCAGAAGGGTATACAAATTTGTGTATGATGTCCAAATGTCCCGAAATTCTGTAAGCAACACCCTAGTGGTCCCGGGCCCTAAGGAAGTCAGATTAGCTTCAACCAGAGCCAGGGCCTTTTCAACACTGGCCCTGGCCTGGTGGAACGCTCTGCCTCATGAGACCAGGGCCCTGCAGGATCTGATTTCTTTCCACAGGGCCTGTAAGACAGAGTTGTTCCGCCTGGCCTTTGGCTTGGAGCCAATTTGATTCCCTCCCTCCCTCTCTTTCTTTTTCTTTTTCCTTTCTCCTCCTGTGATGAGGCTGCATTTTAATATTTTAATGTTTCAGTATTTTAATTGTTGTATTTTAATCTTGTTTTTAAGTTGCATTCATTCAACTTGTTTTTATTATTGCTTGTTAGCCGCCCTGAGCCCGGCCTTGGCTGGGGAGGGCGGGGTATAAATTATTATTATTATTATTATTATTATTATTATTATTATTATGCCTTCCAAAGCGCACTGTCTAGTTTTCATATGGAATTCAGAAAGATTCCAGTGTCGTGGTCCTTCCCCCCCAACAAAAAATTCCTGGAGGCAGACCCTGGCCACTTCCCTCCTGAAGCTGGGTTTTGGGGTGCTGTTCCTGCAGGCGGGGGAAGCGTGCTGCAGTTTGGGGGTGCTCACTTCAGCGCACCCCACCGTTGCTTCCTCTCCCCATCCTCTGCCTCGCACCCATCAGGAAACGGTCCCAGAATCCGAAGGCTGTCCTCTCCTGCGATTTTGTTTACAGCAAAGGTGTCCTCTGCTCAGCTGAGATGACTTCTTTTTCCACCTCTAAGAGGCCTAATGGGTGTCAGATGAATATGCGCCACCAATCCCCCCCCCCATTTCCTGTGTGTGTGCTGCGGCCGGCCTACAAGGCGAGAAAGCTCCTCTTCCACTTTCGGGGATGCGATAAAAGCAGCGCTGCAAAAGGATGTGTTGACGGCCTGAAGCAACGTCACAAAAGCAACGCCTTTTGCAGGGAGTCGAGAAGGAGACATCTCTCCAGCGTCCTTTCCATCCTCTCAGAGGTAGGGGGAAAGACGACACACACCTGCTCAGCCCCTGGGTCTCCGGTTCCAGAGGGTTAGGCGTTTCCAAGATGAGGAGGTTAAATGTGACGGTCACCTCCAGGCTTGGCTACTGCAATTCGCTCTACGCGGGGCTGCCCTTGAAGCTGTCCCAGAAACTCCAGCCGGTGCAGAATGCTGCAGCGAGGCTCCTCACGGGGTCTCTGCCATGGGAGCATATTCACCCAGTGCTTTCCAGCCGCACTGGCTACCAGTGGAGTACAGGGTCAGATTTAAGGTGCTGGTTTTGACCTTTAAAGCCCTTCACGGCCTAGGACCCTCGTACCTACGGGACCGCCTCTCCCGATACGCCCCACGGAGGAGCCTCAAGGTCCATAAATAGCAACACCCTAGAGGTCCCAGGCTCTAAGGAAGTTAGATTAGCCTCAACCAGAAGCAGGGCCTTTTCAACACTGGCCCCGGCCTGGTGGAACGCTCTGCCTCATGAGACCAGGGCCCTGCAGGATCTGATTTCTTTCCGCAGGGCCTGTAAGACAGAGTTGTTCCGCCTGGCTTAGAATCAATTTGACTCCCTCCCCCTCTTTCTTTTTTCCTTTCTCCTGTGATGAGGCTGCGTTTTAATGTATTTTAATCTTGTTTTTAAGTTGTATTTCAGTCAACTTGTTTTTATTATTGGTTGTTAGCCGCGCTGAGCCCGGTCTTGGCTGGGGAGGGCAGGGTACAAATAAAATTTGTTGTTGTTGTTAATGATTAAGTGGGCACAACATATAGGACACAACATATAAATGGGAGACTGGGGGAAATTATTGGAAGTGAATTTAAAATGTACTGGCTGTATACTGTTAAAAGAGAATTATATGAAAACGATGTACAGATGGCAAAAATGTTTAGAACAGGCTCTAATAAGTGTTGGAAGTGTAAAGAAAAAGAAGGCATGTTTTCCCATATGTGGTGGAATTGCAAAATAATTAAAAGTTATGGGGAAATGATTTCTAATGGAATGAAAAGAATGTTTAAGATAACTTTTGTTAAAAGGCCAGAAGCTTTTTTTACTAGGCATTTCAGGTTAAGAAATACTGTATTTTTTGCTCTATAAGACTCACTTTTTCCCTCCTAAAAAGTAAGGGGAAATGTGTGTGCGTCTTATGGAGCGAATGCAGGCTGCGCAGCTATCCCAGAAGCCAGAACAGCAAGAGGGATTGCTGCTTTCACTGCGCAGCGATCCCTCTTGCTGTTCTGGCTTCTGAGATTCAGAATATTTTTTTCTCTTGTTTTCCTCCTCCAAAAATTTGGTGCATCTTGTGGCCTGGTGCGTCTTATAGAGTGAAAAATACGGTACCAACGAAAGAAGAATGGCAAGAAAAACTGATGGAATACCCTGAAATGGCAAAGCTAACGAAAAGGCTTCGAGACAAGGACAACAGACTTCAAGAAAGACTGGGAAACCTTTACGACACACCTAAAGAAACAATCTAAAGAAATGGACTCACTAGCAAGTTTCGACCAAACACAATTAACAGAATAAATACGGAAAATATGATGATGATGATGCTAAAATGATAAGAGAACAATAATTATTATTGTAAAAACCTTATAAGCAAGTTATAAGCAAGCAAGAGAAGTTAATATGTAAAAAAACACACACGAAGTTTAGGGAAGTCGTGACGGGAGGGGGAAACATGGGAAATGTATTCCCCCCCCCTTTGGATGTGATTGATATCGTGACGATAAAAAATCGTAATGCTCAATAAAAAATCAAACCAAAACCACAGGCTTAGGCATTTCCCTGAACCCGCTTTCTGAGAAGCAGGCAACCCAGCAGCTGTCCCAGCCAAGTCCGCTGGCCTTTCCTTAGAAAAGGTTTTGGGGCCGTTTTCCACCCAGATGTCCAAAAGGCAACGGACAGCTACCTCGTCCAAAGCCTCACCACCATCTTGTCCGTTGGGGGCGGGCAGGCGGAGTTTAAAGCTGCGACGCCCTCGCTGGCCGGTCCTTTGGAAGGTCCCTGCTTCCGGTCCGTCCTCCTGGAGTCTGCTCGAACCTTGTGCCTCGCCGCGGCTATGTGCTGTCCTTCAGTTGGACGCTGGCGTCCTCGTCCTCTTCGGCCGCGTCACAGCTGATGTTCTGGGCCGTGATGATGACTATGCTTCCGAGAATGACCCCCGCCCCATGATGTCAAAGGGCGTGACGGCTTCGCGCAGGACGTAGTACTGGACCGCCAGCGTCACCACCACCTCGGAGTGCAGCACGGCGCACACCAGGGCCGGGTGCGCCTTGGTGACGGCGTAGCTGGCACACAGGAAGGAGACCAACGCCAGAAAGCTGATGGCCGCCACGCAAGTCCAGGTCAGGGGGTCGAGGGGCATGACGGGTTGCTGGAGGAGGAACATGGCCGGAGAGCAGACCAGGCTTCCCACCACGCCGAAGAGGAAGGCCACTGTCACCAGCTTGGCCGGGAAGTCCAGGGCCCGGAAGATGACCAGCCCCAGCGCCAGCGCCATCCCTCCGAGGCAGGCCAGGGCATAGCCGAACGTGTCGTACAGCTGCGTGCTCTTGTCGAGGTCCAGGAGGTCGGGCACTACCATGATGATCAGGCCCAGGGTGCTGCCCACCAACCCGAACCAGTCGTAGCCCGTCAGGCTGCCGTTCTCGATGCACAGCGCCAGCAGGACGGAGCATATGGTCGACGAGCCCTTGCGGACGGTTGCGGCGTTCCCGCTGGGCACCACCATGAAGGAGCTGTAGGCGCAGCCGATTGAGATGACGTTGATGGAGGCGTGGAGGACCGTCCGCTGGCGGGCCTCCGGCGGCCCGAAGCAAGGAGCCTTCTGGCAACGCAGGTAGCACGCAAAGAGGAGGTGCAGGATGCAGCGGAAGAGGAGGATCTCCAGCGAAGGGATGCCGGAGGCCTCGTTGGCCATTCGGGTGAACGGCGCCACGAAGCCGGCCGGGACGCCGCCCCCCAGGAGTGCCACTAGCAGGCCCTTCATGCTTTCCGACAGGCGGTAGCGGCTCCAAAGCGGGCGTCGTGGCGGGGGCGGCGGGGAGCAGGGCGGGGGAGAGAACCGCAGCAGGTCGGCCACGGTCCAGGCCGCTCGGTCGGGGGGCCCCGGGCGAGGTGCCATGGGCAGGAGTGCCAAGGGATTGCTGGGAGCCAGCGGGTACCTGCAGGAGAGGGCGGGGGAAACAAAGGGAGGTTGCAAGTGAGTCCAGGCGTCTCTGTCCGAGTGGCATACCTCTGCTGCCACCTGCCTGGTTTCCAAACAAGCCCGCCTCGGGGGAGTGTTGTGAAGCCGGAAATAAGTTGCAAGTAAGGGTTAAACCACAGAGCCTAGGACTTGCCGATCAGAAGGTTGGCAGCTCGGTCCCTGCTCCTGCCAACCTAGCAGTTCGAAAGCACTTCAAAGTGCAAGTAGATAAATAGGTACCGCTCTGGCGGGAAGGCAAACGGTGTTTCCGTGCGCTGCTCTGGTTCGCCAGAAGTGGCTTAGTCATGCTGGCCACATGACCCGGAAGCTGTACGCCGGCTCCCTCGGCCAGTAAAGCGAGATGAGCGCCGCAACCCCAGAGTCGGCCACGACTGGACCTAATGGTCAGGGGTCCCTTTACCTTTAAGGAGAGACTGGGGCTGTTTTAAGTGATAACTTATTTCCCAAGCATCAATTTAGGGTTTTAAGCCAGATTCCCCAACTTGTAGTCTGATGAATATCCAAACCTGCCTGCTTGTCTACTCAGACGGGCAGCGAGTCTCAGGAATTGGGAGTCTTAGTTAACCAAACAGTTGCGTAGGCCCCTGGGGTGCAAAAGATCTTAGGGGCAACAAAATTTTCCAAAGGAAAAAAAGAGAAAATAGTATAATACCTAAAAAAATAGCATGCCCATGGCCCCTCACACAGAAAATTCTCCCAATGTTTGTGCGGCAGAAATTGAGGCAGTGGATTTGGGCAACAGTCGGATGCCGAGGGTGCCCTCTGCATGAGCTTTTGAATAGATACCCTCTCCCAAACAATCCCCTCGTCCTGTCTCCGCTGTGCCCAATGCTCACAGGTGTTGCGGCTGCCACTTGTGTAGGTCGTGGAGCTATTGCCCCTTTCTTTGCAGCCTAATTGGCAGGCAGTGCTGAGGGTCCTTGCCTTGCCTCGGCCAGGCAACCCACGCTATATCTCTGTAACTGATTGTGAAATTAAAACTTTTTATCCAGTAAGGAGAGTTGAGAGGACTGTTTTCAAATGTTAAGAGCATAAGAATGGCCTTCTGGGTCAAGCCAATAACCCAGTCCAGCATCCTGTTCCTACAGTGGCTATGCTGTGGGAAACCCGCAATCAGGATTCGAACACAAGAGTCCTCTGCCCTCATGTGTTTTCCAGCAACTGGCATTCAGAAGCACGGCTGCCTTCAGTTGTGGAGACAGAGCACTGGCACTGTTGCTAGTAGCTCCCCAAAATAGCCTTGCTCCTCCAGGAAGTTGCCCATTCCTCTTCTGATGGGTGGCCATCACTGCCTACTGTGGCATGGAGTTCCACAGTTTAACTGTACCCTGCTGGGTTTTTGGCATAGGTGGAGGATTCTGCAGCCAGTTCCCCAATGCTGTGCCAGGGCTAGGACTGGACCATTGGACCAGCTTTCTCATTTGCTTTCCATCCATGACCCCCCCCAATTGTCTGCTATCTGCCCTCTTCCTAAAGGTATAGGGACCCCTGACCATTAGGTCCAGTCATGGCCGACTCTGGGGTTGCGGCGCTCATCTCACTTTATTGGCCGAGGGAGCCGGCGTACAGCTTCCGGGTCATGTGGCCAGCATGACTAAGCCGCTTCTGGTGAACCAGAGCAGCGCACGGAAACGCCGTTTACCTTCCCACCGGAGTAGTACCTATTTATCTGCTTGCACTTTGACATGCTTTCGAACTGGTAGGTTGGCAGGAGCAGGGACTGAGCAACGGGAGCTCACCCCATTGCGGGGATTCGAACTGCTGACCTTCTGATCGGCAAGCCCTAGGCTCTGTGGTTTAACCCACAGCGCCACCCGCGTCCTGCTTTCTTCCTAGTTTCCCCTTATAATCTGTTTTTGTTCTTAATACGAGTTTTCTTTATTCATTCCATTTACATAGCACCTTATCTCAAGGTGGGGCGCATGATTCTCATCCCCATTTTATCACAACAGCAACTTCAGATTCATAGAATTGTAGAGTTCGAAGGGGCCGCACGGGTCATTTAGCCGAACCCCGTGCCACATTGTGACGTACGTTAGACTGAGGGACGGGAAGCAGGCCCCGCGGTCACCCACTGAGCTTCACAGCCAAGAAGGGTTCGAACCATAGCTTGTCAACTTACAGATTTGAAAATAAGGGACCAGCGGCCTCGAAAATAAGGGATCAGCAGCCAAAATAAGGGATTTTCCAGGCACAGGTATGTTCAACTTCTGAGCCCCTCTGAGCCAAAGGCAGAAAGCCCAGCCAGCAGCCAAACGAAGCCTCATCAATAAGAGACAGCAGCGGGACATGGCGCTGGGATAAGGGACTGTCCCGCCATATAAGGGACACTTGACAGCTATGTTTCGAACCTTGGTCTCCCAAGCCACAGTCCGACACTCTAACCATTACGCCACATACCCAGCGGTTCTCTTTTAAGTCTACCTTTCCTTTCTGGAGCTCAACCACCTGCCTAATATTCCTGGGGTTGGGTTTGGGGAGCAGTGAGCCTAGGGCATCCTTGGCAGGGATTTTCTCACGCAGAAAGCTGCCTAAATTGGACCACAATGGTCCATCCAGCTCAGTGTTGTCCCCGATTTCAGACGGGTTTCACCCCGAGCCCTACCTTGACGTGCCGTCCGAGTCTGAACCCGGGGACTTCTAAATTCAACGCAGGTAAACCAAAGAATCGGAACTCTTCCTCCATGTTTCCTAGGGTCAGGAGTGGGAGGGGTGTGTGACTATAAGCCACCCCTTTTCTCTCCCACACTGATCTGACCCTACCTCCCTTCCTGCGGTATCTGTCGTCAGGGCGTCTGGGTTCTATGCCTGGATTCTAGAAGGGTGGGAATCTAGTACTCTGGGTGCCACAAAGTGGGGTGGGGTGGGGGGAGAGAGTCACCATTTCTGAAGTCCTCTTTTCCCCCCTGACTCGGGTAGCAGGGGATGGAGAAGAGGAAAGGGCGGGGCTTGTAGAAGGAGCCCTCCCCAACTCTCCCAGCCCCCACCTACCTTCACAGCCACCGTACAAACAAGCCGCCACCTCAATCGCCTAGCCTGGCTCCCTCGCCTGGAAGAAATTGTGATGTCATCCTGTCTGCCTGCGCCACTATGACGTCACGCCCTCAGGGCCTCTTCCCCCAGGCTAGATGACACTTGCTAGGCACCTGCAAGGGATGAACAGGTCTACCCCAAAGGAAGTTATATGGGATGATGGATGAGGGAATGGCTTTTTCCTCCCCTCCAGGGCTCTGCAACCCAATGCCCTCCAGGTGTTTTTGGAATATAAGGCTGTGCTGTGGGCCGAAACATCTGCAGAGCACTAGGCTGGGGGAAGCTGTTGGAGAGGCTCTCTAGCAAGAAACCACCCGAGATCGGAGCAGTTAACAGCCCTGAGTTAATTTGCTCCAGTTTGTAGGCCTCTGGAATCTGTACTACTAAGGCCTGGAATATTCAAATGAGGACTAGGTAAAGGTAAAGGTAAAGGGACCCCTGACCATTAGGTCCAGTCGTGGCTGACTCTGGGGTTGCGGCGCTCATCTCGCTTTACTGGCCGAGGGAGCCGGCGTACAGCTTCCGGGTCATGTGGCCAGCATGACTAAGCCGCTTCTGGCGAACCAGAGCAGCGCACGGAAACGCCGCTTGCCTTCCCGCCGGAGCAGTACCTATTTATCTACTTGCACTTGGACGTGCTTTTGAACTGCTAGGTTGGCAGGAGCAGGGACCGAGCAACGGGAGCTCACCCCGTCACGGGGATTCGAACCGCCGACCTTCTGATCGGCAAGCCCTAGGCTCTGTGGCTTAACCCACAGTGCCATCCGTGTCCCTTCCAAATGAGGACTAGAGTGCCTTAAAACATATGCAGAGCGTCTTTTCAATTGTTAATTGAAATTGTCAATGAATCAATTGTTTTTATACCTGCTGTTAGCCGCCCTGAGCCCGGTCTTGGCTGGGGAGGGCGGAGTATAAATAATAATAATAATAATAATAATAATAATAATAATAATAATTATTATTATTATTATTTTGCTCCCCTCTGTTGCTGGCATCTTTGTCTCCAAAAAACAATGGAGTGTGCCTTCAGGGGTGAGGCCAAACTGCTGCATTAGCAGAACTGAAGTGAGCTCTGGGGCACAAGCCTGGGCAGTGTGTGTGGAGGTCCTAGGCTGCCCAGGCGACAAGACCCCCCCTGATGTGGTCCAAAGCAGAGCAAGATGTTTGACACCAGCTTGGCTGCAGCGGTTGCCGGAAGGAGGCGTACAAGGCCTCATCCAACCATTTTAGGGACTCCGCTCCAGATCTGTTTGGGGCTTAGTCCTGAGACTTTTCTTCTCCTGAAGATAGCCTGCAAGGCAGAGGAGGTGGAGGGTCAGAGTTGTCCCTCTGAGGTGGGCTCCCTTGACCCTCCCTTCCCTCTACACCACATGCAGAAACTGCCTTTCTGACCCACACGGTCTCGCCCGCTCAATCACAGCTCATGTACAGCTGGGATAAGAATAAAACAAGGATAAGAATAAATCCATGCTTGAGGGTAGATCATTGTGGTATAGTTGGTTAGGGCAGTGTTTCCCAACCTTTTTTGGGCAAAGGCACACTTGTTTCATGAAAAAAATCTCGAGGCACACCACCATTACAGCCCCGTGACGTCAGCGCGCAGCGTCACGCCGGGAGGGACATGAATTGCTAGCAAATTACATAATCACCTCCTTGAGGGCTGGCTCATCTTCTCCGAAGGCAGAACCCCATTAATTAACAGCACAGACTCACACCATAGCCAAGACGAGGGGGAAAAACCTCAGTCATGCACAGTCATGCACATGTGGGGGCTAAATGAGGACGAAGACCGGGCAGAGAGCAGGGTTCAAATCACCCCACCTGGCCAGGACAATCCCTGGGTGCTCCCTTGGGCCACTCGCCTGACCCACCTCGCAGGGCTGTTGTTGCGAGGATAACACGGGGAGAACCACGCGCGCCCCCGGGAGCTCCTTGGAGGAGAAAGCGGGCGATGAATGCAATGCACGAAATATATGAGAGGCGACCAGGTTTTGCAGGTGAGGGGCCCCCGCCAGCCTCCGCTTCCAACACCCGGCGCAACGTCGCCGAAGTTTTCCCCCAGGCTCGGCTCGGGGAGCAGCGCTGCTCCCCCCCGGCTCCCCTTCGCCCTCCCGGCTCTCTCTGCCGCCCACTGGGGACCCCCCTCACCTGCCAAGTCCGGAGCGCCGGTGGAAGTTGCATGCATGCATGCAGGGCGCCGCGTTGCCATTGCATTGCACTGCACTCCATGCAACGCTTGCACGCATGCATTGCCTTGCACGCACGCCAAGGGGTCTCCCCGCGGTCCGATGCGTCCCCTCCGGCGCGGATGCAGCATTGCAAAAATAAACCCCCCCGATGCAGCCCTACCTGGGGGGCAGCCTCCGCCTCCGCCGCTCCGCCTCCGCGGGGATCCCCGGCCTCCATCCTGCCGCCCGATCTCCGCGGGGGCGCAGGCAGGCTGCGTGGGGTCTGCGCGGAAGAGCCCCTGCCCGCCCGGCCGCGCCGCCGCGCTCATTCCATGGCTGGGAGAAGAGCGCTTCAAACAAAACGCCCGGCCCGCCAGGCCACGCTGGGAAACGTAGTTCGCGCACCCCGCACGGGTGCCGAGCCCAAGGGCGAGGGGACTACGGATCCCGGCAGCCCCTGCGCCGGGGACGGAGGGGGAGAGGCCGGGTGCAGGGATGGAGGGACGGGTGGGCGAGCGAGTGAGTGAGTGGCAGCCGCCAAGCCTTGGCCGAGAGCCAGGAAGGGCCTCCCCGGAGGAGGAGGAGGAGGAGGGAGGCGCAGAGCGGGAGGGAGGGAGGGCACCCCAGGGGTCATCTAGTGACGGCGCCCCAATCAAAAATTTGACTTTAAAAAAAAAATCTTTCAATTTTTTAATTTTTCCCGCGGCACACCAGGCAACATCTCGCGGCACACTAGTGTGCCGCGGAACAGTGGTTGGGAAACACTGGGTTAGGGTGTCGGACCAAGACCTGGGAGACCCAGGGTTCAAATCACTTGTGGGTCGTGACATCAGCGTCTCTCAGTCTGTCCAGCCTACTGTTGTTGTGGGGTTATTAAATGAAGAGAGGAGAAACTTGTCGAACACCTTGAGCTTCTTTGATGAAAAAATGTGGGATATATAAATGCAATTAATAATAATAATAATAGACTTTGACCTCTGAATTTCCCTTGTCAGACGTTTGCACTGTGAGGCTGCAGTTTTATACCTGGGAAGAAGTTGTACAGCTGGCTGAGTTTTCCTTGGGGCAGACCCATTGCCCCTATTGATTTCAGTGTGCCCATCTGAGTAGAACTGGCCTTGGATACAGCCCCAAGGGGCCCTATTTGCAGAGGGCTGCCCTAGAGAAGGGGTGGCACCTCCCACAAATCCGACTAACTTCCGAGGAAGCCCAATTTTACACTCTCCCCCGTTTCTGTTCCTTTGTATGCGCATACGCCAGACGAGAGTTTGTGTCGCCCTGACGCGTGAAGGCGGAAAGGAACTCTGTACATGCTCAGTGGCACCTCCCAGAAAGCCCTACTTGCTTGCGAGTAAGCCCCGATTCACAGTATATTTGCCCCCTCTCCCTCTTCTTGTGATGGCACCCCCAGGAGAGGTTTATGCGTTGTGGTTACACGAAAAGGCACTCTGCACATGATCGGTGACCCCTTCCAGAAACCCTACCTACTTCCGAGCAAGCCCCGTTTCACGGCATCTCCCGCCCCGCTCTCCCCTTTATTCCGCTGCTATCCCCGGAGCGCGTTGCGCAAGGGCGAAAAGGCGCTCTGCACATGATCAGAGGCGCCTCCCTTTGCAGGGACCGACGCGGGGAGAGAGAGAGAGGAGAAAACCCGCGTTACGCGTGATTGGAAAGCGCGTGTCTTCTCTTCTCCCACCCCGCCCCGCAACCTCCCCAGCCCCGGGATGTAGGCAAGCGCTCCCGACGTGCGCTCTCGCTGGCTGGCTTCTCCTGGGGGGCGTCCCGGGGGCCGGAGGGCTGGCCCGCACCGAGGCTGCCGTGGCGGCGCCGAGCCTGAGCCGCTCCGATTCGGCTGAGCCTCTGCGATGATGTCAGAGGGGGAGGCAGCGGCGGCGGCGGCGGCGGGTTGAGCGGAGCGCCGGAGCCAGAGGAGAGCGCGGAGCGGCGGCGGCAGCGGCGAGCGAGGGGAGCGGCGTCCCGTGCCAAGCAGGCTGCGAGCATGAATGGCGGGGCGAGAAGACTCCATCTTGGGCTGCCTCGCCGCCCCGCTGCAGCAGCAGACACGCAGGTAGGGGGCTCGCCGACCCGACGGGGGCAGCCTCCCACCGGAGGCGCCCCGGTCCCGTGCGCTCCCCTCGGGGCGCGCAAAACAAGGGCGAGGCTGCCCGCGGGCGCTTGGAGAGGGCCCCAACCCAGCGCCCTTTCCCAAGGCGGCCTAGTCCCCGGGATCGCCAGCCGGGGTGGGGTTGGGGTCGGTCGGGGCTCGTCCCGGGGCCCCGCGGTGTTTGGGGAGGGGGTGGCCAAACGGGGCGCGCGGCGACGCCACTTTTCTCCCCGCGACGCGCGCCCAAGATCGCCGCCGGGGCGCGCCGCCCTCCAGCCAGCTGCGTAATTGAGCATCCGGATCTCCGGAGCTGGGGAGGGGAGGGAGGGGGTCCGCGCCAGTCCCGGGAAAGAACCGAGGGACACCCCCCAAAAAACACACACCCAGCCACCCGAGAAAGGGAAAGTTTTCCCCTCCTGCCAGGGCGGCGGTTCTAGAACTCTCCAGGCGCTCGGAAAGAGGTCGGCCCGGGGATTTAGGAAGGGGGGTGCGGAGAGCCTGCTTGGCTGGGTGTTATTTTTTTGGGGAGGGGAGGGGCGCAGCGAAAGAGGAGGCGAAGCTGCGCATTTAGCATCCTCGCCACGCATTGCATGTTTCGATCTCTCTCTTTTGGAGGGAGGGCGGGGGGAGTGGACGGGAGACCTTGAAGAGACCCCCTCCCCAAACACCTATTCCGGAAATGACCCCTGGGCGATCCGGGATATTTTGGGGACCCCTGGGTCGAAAAGTCAGACCTGTGGTGGTGGGTGATCTGGCTTCCTTAATTTCAATTCTGGAAGCAACCCTGATATACCGTATATATATAGAGGGAGAGAGAGAATGAGGATCCCGCGGCTTTTCTGCAGCCATCCTATACACTGGATCTGGGATCCTAGCGCGCGGAGTTGCGCGCTTGTGGAGGCGAGCAGCGGCGGGTGCCTCCGGCGGCTTGGGGCAATTCTCTTTGGGTCCTGGGATCGCGCGAGGCTCACGCACTCCTGTGTTTCTCATGGGTTAACAGAGAGGCGATGGATCTCAGCGGGGGATCCTTTTTTGGAAGTGTTCGGGGCGACCTGGATATTTGGGGTTGGAAAAGGGATCTCCGCTGGCATGTTTTCCCTGGCAGCAGAAATACAAAAATATTGGGAAAGGGCGAGTTTTGAAGAGGATCTGTGTTTGGGGATGGGGGTGGGCAGCCTCCAACAGCACCCCCACCCCAACATGAAGGGGGGGGAGGCTGTGAGGGTGACCTCATTAGGAGAAGGATCCTGCTCTCTTCATCTCTTTGCCTGGTCTTCTTCTCCTTGGTTTTCTCTTCCGCAAGGGAACGCTGAGGGTTAACGTGGCCGAAGCTCTGGTTGTTTTCCTGACCCAGCGGCGCTCATCCCATGCCCAAAACAGCGCAGGCTTGGCGCACCTCAGGAGTTTGCCTCCCGCCGATCCGTGGCCCCTGCTCTTCAGGCGCTGAGCACCCTGCCTCACGTACATGCCCATGTGCCGTTTCTCAGACCTGCCAGTCTGGTGCCTCTTCCGAGCCTACCACTCGATGGAAAAAACCATTGCCTGTTAATGGCACGGACTCCTTCCTTCGTAATCTCCTGTTTATTTACCTCCAAAAGACATCTCGCGTGTCTTGGATGTGCGTGTCGCTATCCGAAGCCCTCCCGTTCCTCACGACAACCTCGCCACACGCCTGTCAGAGCCTTGTGCGCACCACAGACCCTTTCTGTTTCCTGTTATCCCCTCTCGCTTTGCCTGCCTTCCTTGTACGTGCCTCAGACCTGTTTTCCCTATACGTATCCCTTTCTCCCTATATCGAATTTCTCTCGGTGTCTTAAATCTATCCCACTCCTGCGACGGGGACATAAATACGTGCCAAATCCTAAACAGAAACCTCCGAGCCACGCAGGACATTTTTCTAGGCCTGAGGCAGAAAATCCACACTGGGTGTCACGCCAAACCTAGCTAACATCGTCATCCTACAGTCACGTTATTAATTGATTTGTATCCCATCTTTCCTCCAAGGTGGCATACGCCGCCCCTCCCTTTTTTCCTCACAACACCCCTGTGAGGTAGGCTAGCCCGAGAGCCGGGAACTGTCCCAAGGTCACCCAGCAGCGAGCCTTGTGACTGAGTAGAGCGTTGAACCCTGCCGTCTCTAACCACTATACCGCACTGCCTTGTGTGAGGGCCCTGCTGTTTGCAACCGGCTTAGGGCAAGGCTGCCGGCCTGCCGTTCGTTCCTCCTCAGCCGACAACACAGGACCGTCACACTTCCGTATGCTGTCATGCCCTCCTCAGCCGGGGTTGGGGAAAATACTTCACATTTTTGATGGCCGATCTCAGCTTTCAGCGGGAAGTAAAGTGGGAGGGAAGATCAGGGTCACATCCAGATTCCTTTTAGCGGCGCCGTTACGAAACCCTGAGGCTGGGGATTTCCCCCCTCTCGAACTGGCTTTAATAACCCCATATCCCTTAGGCCATCGTTGCAATGTCATTTCCACACACACACACACACACCCGGCCACATCTTGCACGCAAGCTTACACACAAACACACAAAATTCTTCCCCTCTCAAATCTTCTCTCTGCTACCGAACACACCCTCTCGACACGCCCCCCTGCCCTCATTCTCACACGTTTATTTCTCTTGTTTATTCCCTTTTTCCACCCCGCCTTGCCTTCCAAGGAGCTCAAGCGCATGGTCCTTCACATCCCCAGTTTATTTTCACAACACCCCTGCAAGGTAGGGTAGGCTGAGAGAGGCTGCGGTTAGCCCCAAGGTCGCTTCTTGGCTGTGGGTGGCAGGGGAAAAAGGATTTGAACCCGGACCTCTTAGCCCGACACTCTATAACTCAGGCTTCCTCAACCTTGGCCCTCCAGATGTTTTTGGCCTACAACGCCCATGATCCCTCGCTAGCAGGACCAGTGGTCAGGGATGATGGGAACTGTAGTCTCAAAACATCTGGAGGGCCGAGGTTGAGGACGCTTGCTCTAACCACTGCACCGCACTGTTTGTAAGCATCGTCCTCACCTGCGTCCCGCTCTCTCCTGCCGCAATCCCTTAACGCTCTTCTCTGCCCCTATTCAATGCCCCTGCCTGCACCCCTCACTTAACGCCTTCCCCTCTCACGACCTGGCCGCCTCTTTTGCACCCGGGGCTCCGCGCAGGTGCAGAGCGAGGGGCCGTCAAATGCATGACGCATGAGGTGACACCTATGAGGATGCGTGTTCCCTCTTGATCCCGTAAGAGCAGCCCTGCGTGCATGGGAGAATGTGGCTGTGAGCGGATGTCCGAATTGAGCGCATAGCCGAGAGGCTTGTTTTGTTTTGTGGGTGCGCAGAGCTCTCTAGTGCGCACATGCTTACGAACGGAACGACATTGTGCATTTCTCTCCGCCAATGCACAGTGTGATTCTGGGTGCCTGGAATGCCGTTGTAAGAAACGCCTGGGGGGTCTTGAGATACCGTGTGGGGTTCTCCGTGATCTAAGCATGTCGGGCGGCGAGGAAAAACAACATGAAAACGGCACCGTCCCTCGGTGCAGTGCCCAGCTTCTGTGTTTGTCTGTGAGCTTTTGAAGGGTCTGCGATGCAACGGGGGAAGATTGCGTGCAAATCTACACCCCCCCCCATTTTAAAAAAAGCACTTCGGGTTAGCTTCTTATCGGCAAAGGGTAGAAAACAGCGGCTTGCTTTCCTTCGGTCGAAGGGACCTGTTTTTAAGATGCATGTTGTTGAGAATTTTTTTCTGGGGGAAGCGTGTGGCCCCTGCAGCCCTGCTCCTGGCCCGAATGCGGCCCACTCCCCAAAGGACTGCAGGGCTGGCGCAGGCCAAGCGGCGAGGAAAGGTTTGCCAAAGCCAGGCAGCTCGGCCGTGAAGCCGGCTGGGTGACCTTGGGCCCGTCCCTGCCTCTCAGGGTCGTGGTGAGGATGTCACCGCGAAGAGCTGTCCATGCTAGCTTGAGCTCTTTGAAGGAGAGGTGGGATCTAGAGGCAATGAATCGCAGATTTCCAGAGTTGGAAGGGACCCCCGAGGGTCATCTAGACCAACCCGCTGCAATGCAGGACAGTTTGGCCCAACGTGGGACTCGAACCCACGATCTTGAGATTAAGTGTCTCGTGCTGAACTGACTGAGCTATGCCAGGACAGAAAATAAACAAACATGACACAGCCCCTTTTTCAGCCCTTTGGGTTCAATGCGTTTTGGACCTTTTAACATTAAAAAACCCCAATCCTTTTAAAACAGGGAAAAGTATGCTTTAAAAATAAAGAACCGTACTATAATTCTCACGAAAATGTTGCTGAACCAGATGGATGCGCATGTGAGGTAAATCACTATTCTCGCTCTTCCCCGCCCGCCCCCATTTTGCAGGTGGGAGGACTGAGGACCGAGAGAGAAGGGTTGGCCTAACACCCCCTCTGAGTTCATGGAAGAGGCGAGATTTGAACCCAGGACCTGCGGATCGTAGCTCAGTCGGTCACTTAGCCACTACACTGGGAAGTTGAAAGGATGATGATGATAATAATAATAATAATAATAATAATAATAATAATAATAATAATAATAATGTTATTTCTACCCCGCCCATCTGGCTGAGTTTCCCCAGCCACTCTGGGTGGCTCCCAATCAAGTGTTAAAAACAATACAGCATTAAATATTAAAAACTTCCCTAAACAGGGCTGCCTTCAGATGTCTTTTAAAGATAGGATAGCTGCTTATTTCCTTCACATCTGAAGGGAGGGCGTTCCACAGGGCGGGCGCCACCACCGAGAAGGCCCTCTGCCTGGTTCCCTGTAACCTCACTTCTCGCAGGGAGGGAACCGCCAGAAGGCCCTCGGAGCTGGACCTCAGTGTCCGGGCTGAACGATGGGGGTGGAGACGCTCCTTCACGTCTACTGGGCCTTTGAGGCCATTTAGGGCTTTCAAGGTCAGCACCAACACTTCGAATTGTGCTCGGAAATGTACTAGGAACCAATGCAGGTCTCTCAGGACCGGTGTTATGTAGTCTTGGCGGCCGCCCCCAGTCCCCAGTCTAGCTGCCGCATTCTGGATTAATTGCAGTTTCCGGGTCACCTTCAAAGGTAGCCCCACATAGAGCGCATTGCAGTAGTCCAAGCGGGAGATACCCAGAGCATGCGCCACTCTGGCAAGACAGTCCGCAGGCAGGTAGAGTCTCATCCTGCGTTCCAGATGGAGCTGGCAGACAGCTGCCCTGGACACAGAACTGACCTGCGCCTCCATGGACAGCTGTGAGTCCAGAATGGCTCCCAGGCTGCGCACCTGGTCCTTCAGGGGCACAGTTGCCCCATTCAGGACCTGGGAGTCCCCCACACGCGCCCGCCTCCTGTCCCCCCAAAAACAGTTCTTCTGTCTTGTCAGGATTCAACCTCAAAGTGTTTTTAACACTTGATTGGAAGCCGCCCAGAGTGGCTGGGGAAACTCAGCCAGATGGGCGGGGTATAAAGGATGGGTGCCAAGCAAGCTGGCCTGGCGAGGGGCGTGGCCTGGAGAAAGGAGGTGTGGCCTGGGAACGTTTCGTGGGCCACATAGGAGGAATTGGAGGGCCGCATTGCTCTCTCATTTCCACATACTATCCATTTTAACGCCAGTATTTTGGAGCAAAACAAGGCCTAAGCCCAGAATAGGAAACCAGGAATGTTACCAGTGTGTGTGTGAATATTTCTGTAGGGAAAATAGACCGGGTCCCACAAGATTTGCCTGCCGTTTCCATTTTACACGGAGGGGCCCCTGCGTGGCCGGCCAGCAGCCATCTTGTCCCGGTGCCAGCCCTGGCGGAGGGCATTTCCAGGGGACACAGGGGCCGGACTGGGCTATGTTTTCCCTGGAGGGCGTCCAGCCTCCTTCTGATCTCCATTGTTAGGCTGGCTTCTTGTTGTTTTTCTCCTCAGCCGTCGGTTTCATGCTGCCTCGCTGCTGCATGAGTTCAGCCGGCCTCCCCCTTCCTTGCTTGTCTGCTAGCTAGCAGAAACACGCTCTGCCTCTCTCTCCGAAAAGGTCATTCTTCCAGGCAAAGCATCCCAGCCGGGGTGTGTGTGTGTGTGTGTGTATTTTCCAGGCCTTCGCTCAAAACCGAAACCTTGCATGACGGGCCCCTAGGACAGGGGTCAGCAACCTTTTTCAGCCGGGGGCCGGTCCACCGTCCCTCAAACCTCGTGGGGGGCCGGACTATATTTTTTGGGGGAGGAAATGAACCAATTCCTATGCGCCACAAATAACCCAGAGATGCATTTTAAATAAAAGGACACGTTCTACTCATGTCGAAATGCCAGGCAGGCCCCACAAATAACCCAGAGATGCATTTTTAATAAAAGGACACATTCTACTCATGTCGAAACACGCTGATTCCCGGGCCCTCCGTGAGTCGGATTGAGAAGGCGATTGGGCCACATCTGGCCCCCGGGCCTTTGGTTGCCTACCCCTGGCCTAGGTCTAGGACATGGAACACAACTTTAAAGCTTTATTTAAAGCACAATTTCTGGGTTATTTGTGGGGCATAGGAATTTGCTCTTTTCTTTTTTCTTTTTCCAAATATAGTCTGGCCCCCCATAAGGTCTGAGGGACAGTGGACCGGCCCCCTGCTGAAAAAGTCTGCTGACCCCTGCTCTAACCACTACACCCCACTGCCTTCCTAGAGTCCTTCTGCTATGGGGAAGCTCTAGAAATT